AATGTGAGACTCAAAATTGCTTGATGTACATTTTTAATCTGCAGTCCATATACAAAACTTGATATAAGTTAACAAACACGGTCTATTCAAATAATTTCTACCAAATAAAATGGCATGATATTGGTCATGGAAAGCTGGCTTGCATATGGACTTAGAGAAGTATGCATCACAAAAACAGTTAACAAAAGAGATTTAATAGAATTAAATGGAAGGATAATAATCATGTAGCCGACCCCCAAAATCTAGGATAAAAGCTTTGTTGTTCTGTTTAAAATTGCTCATTGAAAGTTAGTTAAGGAAAGAAATAATCTTCCTGAATTTGTGAAAAATCGATTGCCATATAACTAGAAGCTAGAAAGTTTCTTTCATATTTCACTATCATACAGATATTAAGGGTTAAATTCACAACGTTGCCATGAAATTTGGAGGGTTTTGCACAAAACTACCATTAATTTTTTTATTAGATAACTACAATGAAAAATTGTAGAAAACTCCCATAAACTATAGGAAATTTTTACTGACGGATTATTTATGTCCATCAATCTGGAAAATTCACAGAACTACTATAGAAGATATATAAAGTACACCAGAATTAAATTGTCTAAACCGTGTTGTGTGTTAAGCATGTGACAACCTACACTCATTGTCATTAGGCATGATAGTTTAGTGAAAAGTTCATGGTAGTTTCTCTAATAATCATGGTAATGTTAGCAATACCTTATCCTTAATCAATAACCCTTACTCCTCTTTATCACAGTAGTTTTGAGGATTGTAATCAACATTGTACAACAATATAGTGATATCTCTCAACTTGCATCTGCATGCTACAATCGATGGATATTTTGTTGCAAAACTTTTTGTGATCATGTTGCATTATGATAAATTACAAAACGAGAGTTTTTTAACCAGTTACTTAAAATTGATATTTTTTTGTTGTTCAGGAGATAAACTTGTGGGCGAGGTTAGCAGACTTGTAGTGGTAGAAGCCTGCATACAAGCTCTCGATATAGACTTCACCAAGGGACAAATTTCAACAACTCGTAAAAGGGTGGGGTTTTCTTCCCCCGTTGTTCCTCCGATGATCGGTTAGCTAGTTACTTGAGTGAGAAAGTGGCGAACTATAGCAATTCTTAACTGCAGTGGAATGGAGAAAAATGCTTAGACAATTGCTTACCTTTATGTTGAGAATAATTTTCCCTTTTACGGCAATGAAGGAAGAACATTTTGGACTCTTCGTCCGAGTCAGAGTTGGCGGCCGAGTCAGCTTTGACTTTACAGATGGCAGGCGCGGAGTGGGCGTGGTCACTTTGGTATTTAATGAGATGAGATAGACGGCGTGCGAAGCCGGCGTGGTCCGATGTGCCATAAATAATATTGGGGATGGAGAAATGATGGCATCTGTCACGCATTTAATGTGATGTCGACGCGCTGTTAGTGGGGAGCTCGAGGTCGTAGTCGCCTTTTGTCTCGTATGAAAGGGTGTCAAGAGGTGTCGCCTTTCGAGTCGGCTTTCATCAGATGTCGGCTGGATAATTAGTCGAGTAGGCTTGCGACGAGTCATCTTCGACGAGAGGGTTGGCCAGTACCGCCTTTCGAATCGACCCTGGCAAGATGTCAACTCGTCGAGTAGACTGAATCAGGACTTTGGCTATCCCAAGCGTAGAGCTGGCCGAATTAGGAGTAATGAGAGATCCTAATCTTGACGATTAAAAACATCATAAGAGTTTTACTGTAAAATTGTATCCACCAATATCAAACTTAAGAAGTACCCTTTAAAAATTAGATGTATATCGTCAAGTACCCATACATGTATAGTACCTGCTTTCACTCACCAAAAGTAGAGCAATACATGTGATGTGAACACCCAAAGAAACACACACATTCAATTAATATATATACCAACTAATCTCTTATAATTGCAATAGTAATAACAACAACAAATTAATTGTTAAGTATACAAGATAATGATTAATTAGGGTGCTAATCTACAAGTTAGCTTTATTAATGAGTAATTAAGGGGTGTAGAGCCTATTGCCGCATTTGCAACGCCAGGCCTCCGGGTAGTACTCGGTGGTAACTGGCGGGACCGTCACGCGCACCGCACCGCGCGCACCGGCGGCGCTTCCCTGCGCACCTCGGTGGGTATGACCCGGGCCCACCCAAGCTCCTCCGGCGCACCGTAGCCCAGCCCTGCAAACGGAAAAAATGCAACGGCGGCGCATGTTAGCATTCAAGTGAAGTATAAGGTAAAGTACGCTACTGAGACCGTTAGTTGTAGCCGGTACAGCTTAGGATGCCGGCATATGTTAGCCGAGAAGAGCTGCTGTTGCTAATTTATGCGGCTTCATGTAGCGCAGTGTACGGAGCATACACAGCGACCAGGTGAAAGGAACAGAGAAGCGTCCGCAGCTTGTCGTGTAAGATAGTAAGTGCTCGGTCATACTTGCTAATGTGCGCTGCGGGCGGAGAGAACTGGACAGGTGCTTAAAACACGGGCGAAGTGCATTTTTACTCATTGGCCTGATATTTAGCGAACTGCTTGATTTTGTAATTAAAATGGCTTAAATGCTAATTACAAGAAGATTTTTTTTTGTGAATAATAAGAAAAGAATTAACAAAGACTAAAGAGCACCTGCGCATTAATATCCAAGCTCAAGCTTCTGATATCTGCCAAAAAAATAAGACAAAAAACAACGAAACATGTCAAACTTAAATTCAAATTCTGAGGTACAGATATCTAGTTTTACCCTTTTTTAGCAAAATTCCAATATTTTAAGCAGGATACAGCACCTGTTGAGTGAGAGTGAGAGAATAGGTAGAAGCTTCAGTGGTAGTATAGCATGTGAGTAGGATATGAAAGCTGAGGATTTTTGTACTACAATAGGTTGATGAAGAAATTTTCTAAATAAACCTATTAAACTTTTTTTTTAAATCAACCACTTGAGTTTTTTTTTACAAAAATCAACCAATTTTCTCGTCACGTCAACATTGAGAAAGTGGGTCGATTTTTGTTTTAATTCAGTTCCTAAATATTCGGGGTTGCCAACCCCGACTATTTAGGAGGTTACTAAACCCTAATTACAACCCTAAATCTTAACATTCTATGCATTAAATAGTCGGGGTTGACAACCCGACTATTTAGGAACCGGATTAAAAAAATGCTTAGACAATTGAAAGGGTAAAAAATTTCAAGGAAGGCTGCAGAGGTTGTTAGACTCACCATAGTTCAGGTTGAAAGGTATTGATTTATATCTTATACCCTTTCAGTTACAATCCAATTAGATGTATGATTTTATATTTTATGCAGCTTTCAGAGACAGCTTAGATTTGAACCATGTACATTACATATTTCCTTCTTTTATAGAGCTACATATCTATTCATTTCATGTATCACTCTGCATATATAGATGAGGTTGAGCAATATATTAGTAATATTTTTCCCTTATAAATCATTAGGAGTCGACAGGTCAAGAATATTTCAATGATGAAGCTGAATCTTCCAAAAAGAAAATTGATCTTGATAATGTAAGTCAATACACTTAGTTTTACTATTCTTTTTCATTCCTCTTGTTTGTATTTTTTTTAATTTTTTTTGGTGAAATGAAAGGTAAGTATTCATGTCATCCTATGGAGAAGAAGGAACATCATAACAAGTGGGTGTATCGAGTGAAAAAGGAATAGGATGGTTCCAGAAGATATAGAGCCCGACAAGTTGTCAAATGATTTCAACAGAAAATCCAAAGAAAAAAGAATCCAGCGGATATGTTAACAAAGGCAATGACCTTTCAAAAACTAGAGTTGTGTGTAACTTCAGTTGGCCTTCATGCATAGGTGATGAAGGCGGAGCCACGCAAGCGGAGGTGTTTGTTAGGATAGCCTGCTAACGACAGTTTAGTTTCCAAGTGGGAGACTGTTGGATCTAGATGTGTAGCTCAAACTCACCTGCAAGCGAGCTTCTCTAGGCGAGGACGAAGCTCAGGCGAGGGCGAGCTCCAGTTGGCAAGCTCCAGATCCACAGGCGAGTTCGTGAGCGGGCGAGGTCCAGAAGCTGGTGGGCTCGAGGTCATTGCAGGCGAGGTTGACGCAGATGCAGGAGAGCTCGGGGTCGACATCAGGCGACCTGGAACGTGGCACAGGCGAGGACGATCCGCAGGCGAGCTCGAGCGTGGGATCCAGGCTGTCGACAACTTGTCTCGAGCTGGCGCTAGGGTTTCCCTATAAAAAGGAAACCCCTAGCACGAGATGGGTGCTTCTTCTCTCTTTCCTTCAAACTTAAGATCCCTCAACGAAGGCCAACATTTGAATTTCTTCTTCTCTCTTAATTCCCGTTGCAGCTGAAATTCTAATGCTTCAAGGGCTTTTTTCTACACCTATTTGTTCTTTCTTCTCTCATGACCTTTTTCTCCAGCGCTCAAAGAGATTTGAGGGGGAATTTTAAGAGGAGAAAAGAGAAGAGGGTTTGAGAATTAAAGTGGGGATCTTTTTCCCATCTCTCAATAGGTGATTTTGAGGGGGAATTAAAGAGGAGGAATCAATACCGTAGCTACAGAATTGATTTGTATTTATTGAGGTATCTCAAGTTTGAGATCCGCTCTTGAATTGTAATTTTTTTTATTAATAAGAAATTATTGTGTGTGGCTCCTAAGGACGTAGGCAAGTTTGACGAACCTCGTAAATTTTGGTGTACTTTTCTCTATATTGCGTTTCTGCTATGTTAGGGATTTTGGCTAAAATCCCAACAGTTCTAAAGAATTTATGTCCAGAACTAACAAAACAGCAAAAAACTGATAGTTTATATACTTGATTGTTAAGACTAACAAGTAAGATCATGTGTATGCAACATGAAAAACGAGCAGTAGGAAAAATATTGAACACGTGTATAAGCCAAGGCTAGAAACACAAATGCAACGGGACTCGGAGAAACCATGCGCCTTTCTTAACAAAGTAAAGGAGACCACCTCACGAAATGAAATTTGAACAAAAAGAAGAAACATATCTACCAAAAAAACCATCTCTTCTTGACAGGATCTGCTTGAATAACTTTTGGGGTCTCCTCCCCTTTCCTCTTTTCCATTCCCTGATTCAATGACTCCAACCTTTTTCTGAAATAAAGTGAGAAGCAAGTTTTAGTATTCAAAAATTACAAATCACATAATAGATGCTTGAAAGTCATCCCTCAAGCGAAAATATTTGTAGAAAAATAATAAATGAGTTGTCAGCTACTTCCCCACTAAAACTAAGAAAATAGTAGGAAGAATTACTTGGTATCTTCAAGACGACCATGCAAACTCCATCGCTCGCGAAACCCTTCCATTCCTTCCATTCCACTTGCAAGAATCATGCGCCTAGAGTATTTGAATTGTATATAAGATCCGAAAGTGTATTTTATACTTCTGTCTATGTAGATAAAGAATCAGAAACAAGCCTATATGGGACCAAACCATACTTAAAAAAAAGCTTGTACCAATATTGTGTTTTTGAAATACATAAATTGTTCGGTCATAGAAGACTTGCCCACTTTTTAGAATATATAATTCTTGAGATATCCAAAAAAATAAAAATTAACATTGAACTCGATTTGATGGAAAGCAGTAGTAATTAGGATAAATGAGACATTTGCTACTGGCATCTTCATGACTAGCTCAATTTATTAATTCATGTTTCATCATTATAAATAACAATGCTTTTGTAGAATTTATAGCTTTGGTTATACCAAATGTGAGTGGCGAAATTGAAGATGTAGATGGTGAATAAGATTGTTATTTTTGATAAATTGGCTAAACGGTATGACCAGCTAATAAAGAAAAAACAGTATAAGGAGATGATCTACTCTTCGGACTAACAAATAAGATGCTAAACAATGCCTCAATATACCAGAAAATAAGCAAACAATTAAGATCATACTATCATAAAATATTTTGTTGTCTGGTAGAGAGGAGAACAGAGGCTATATAAAAGTATATAGGAAAATTCAATTGAAGTCTAGACATTGTACCTCTCTAGGGATGTGACCGAAGCTTGAAGCTGTCTCGCCCTCTCCTTTGCTTCTTCCATGGGCATCGATAAACCCAGCTTATATTCGCTCTCTTGAAGTCGTCGCCTCAGCTCCTTATCCTATGACAACAAGTAGAACCAAGCACACCACCCATAAATCACATAATTATTTAATTGAAAAAAGGAAATACAGAAAGATGTAAGTGAACATATCTGACCCTTTTCTCGGCACACTGTCTGTACAACACAATCTCATCTTGGCAAAAAGGCTCGATATCATTGATTTGTAGACCTGAAAGATGAACATAGCCAACGGTCTAAGGATATATCTCTCACATTTCCCTAGCTAGCTAGTGTATCAAACTCACAACAATACAAAGCGCAAACAATTGGTCAAAAGTTCAAGGCACTTACATAAGAAAAGATTCCTCAGAATTCTCTCACACGTATCGACACCTTCGAGCACGTGAGACGCAATCTCTGGGGGGATAAGAGGCGATGGCGGCCCAAGCATAAGGTCATCACCCACCAAGATGGTTTCTTCCATCGTTGGCTGCGAATCAACTAAAATCCCAATAAACAATAACAATGATGAGTAGATGACATTACAATATACACTACAGACTGATTTATCTCCCAAGAAAAAAAAGACAGAAAGTTCTAGTTAAATACAATTTACAGCATTCATTACATGATTTCTCTTCATTACTGTGAAGCGTATTGTCTCCCAGTGCAGTCCAATATCATAATTAAAGCAATTAGACTAGACATGGGAAATTCCTAATTGTTGTATCAAACTTATTAT